CCCTGCGAGTGATAATAACTGAACTCGAGTTCAGGGCAACGATTGTTTGTGGGGGATGCGAGGCAGAGTCATATAGAGCGTCGAGGGTTTTTTCGACGTTCGGTTGGAGGGGTCTTGAGTGACTTTTCAGAAGGACCCCCTCCCCCGGTCGACAGCGTACCGACCCGGCAGACCTGGCACGGCCGGGAAACGAGCGATGTTGGTCGGCTAACTCGGCGGACCGCGAGAGGTTAGGGCATTGTTGGGGGTTTCCCCCATCCATAATAGAGGGGTTTTTTTGGCGAAACGTCGTACTCAGATTGTAAATGTTGTGGCTTGGCTCTCCAACACACAACCGGTGTGCTGTACTAGTCTATTACACTATACACTACTATACACTACACTATACACTATTATACACTACACTATACACTACATTATACACTACACTATACACTACTATACACTACACTATACACTATACACGACTATACACTACACTATACACTACACTATACACTACACTATACACTACTATACACTACACTATACACTACACTATACACTACACTATGCACTAGTGCTGTACTAGTGACGAATTGGCCACGTTCTGTCTACGTGACAACGGTTCTAACCCCCAAAAAAACCTCTATTAGGGGGTTGAGGCAGGATTATCGGTGGGTATGTTAACTGGCACAGACACGGAGGATAACCCACCCGACGTACCGCCAAAGCACGCACAGGGTGAAAGAGGTCCCCGAATGGTGCCGATAAACCAGTGACGAGTCAGGCGACTCGAAATCCAACACCGGCTGTCAATGGGTCAGAGCGCTCTGCACTGGTGCTACGATTTCGCAAGTCTCCTCTCATTGAACGATGTGTTAGGAGAGCGCTTTTTTTAAATGGCAGAAACAATTGCACAAAGGAGTTTTTTTCCTTTAAATTGAAAATGTTTGTTAAAGGACGCAGCGGTCAAAGACGCGCACATCGAGTATAGGTCGGTTGTGTCCCGACCATGGATCAGTGATCCTCAAAGACCGCATCCAATGCCGTATCGCTCTCGCTGTGGCTCCTCGTCACGTGCCACGTACAGCTGTGAAGTCTACCAGCGACGAAGATGCATCTTCAGTGGGAAATTAGGTCTGGCCCAGGCTGAGATTTGTGTTTGATTTCAAGAGTAAAACACATTAAGTTGCAACAAATAACAGCGTTAGTGATGTCACCGGATTAGCGTGTAATTAAAAGAGAAGCATAAGGATTTTTCGATTCATATCTATGATGTCTAACGCTCATGATTACGTGCGTATATTGGTGCATATGCCAGTGATATGCATCGTGTTCATGTTGCATTTTGGCTAATGGAGCAAACAAAACATCGAATTAGGAACCATAACATCGAGACGATAGCAGGTGAATCATTGCACGTCTACGTAAACAATGTTGAGTGAACCCACAATAGTTGTCATAACGACATAGCCGACGGAACTGCAGTGTTTGCACTCATCAATGACGCTTCAAGCTCGTGCCAGATTCGGCAGCACACTGTTACGGTGCATGTAAAAAGAGCTGCGTGCGTCTTTGATGAAAACTTCTGGGTTTACATCTGAAAACTGAACCCAACGATAACAATGTCACTTGCGTGAAAATACTTTTACACGTTTTGTTATTTTACATCGGTTACTGTTCTGGTCAAAGGTTTGTGTATTTGTTTCAACGTAAAACGAAACTAAAACGTTTTATTTTATTTTACCAGCCATATAGCTCTTTTTCAGAAGCGACCTGGCCACAAATGATAACTCAACGAAGTGGATTATCACCAAGTGGAAATTTATAGCAGCCAAATACTACAAAGGTCAAGTTCCTAAACGTGGAGGAGAAAACCGGAGGACCCAGAAAAAAAGAAAGAAAAAAACTCCAAATATTCAGGGAAAGTAGTCGGGATCGAACTCATCGATCCCACGACCTCCATGGATACGAGGCGAGGGAGTTAACATCTCGCCACGGTGGCCACGTGGCTGCTAACGCTGCCTGTGATCGTTCTTAGTCGTCTGTGGCAACGTCTCAAAACCCGACGTGGGTCACCTGGACGTGACAGATTGAGACAAACGGGGAGCGGATTTAGCGAGAGTGGGGGGCAATCAGGTCAAGCGGCGTATTGGTTTCGCAGCCCAGGGAGCTATGGGATAAAAAAAACAATGTATGTACAGTATGTTGAAACTTCTTTCGCACCGTACGTAGCCAACCGTGTTCATCGGAGGTGCGGGGGAAGGCCAACAAAGAGACAAGAACGCTAAGTTTGAGGGTCGAGTATTCGAACGCGGTAATTGAAGGAGGGCGATCTGTCATGCTGCATGGCTCAGAGGTGGACGCCAGGCGGTTCGAAAATAAAGTTGCATTTTGCACATAACCGTCTGCGTGGTCACATTGCGTCACAGTATTGCGTCGTGACAATTGGCGCTCCACGTGGCAGTCAACTACAGTATCTAGAAAAGGAGTATTGTAATGTGTTGCCAACAGGGCTACATAGGGGCCGTCCATAAATGACGTCACGCGATTTTAGACGACTTTTGACCCCCGCCCCCCTTCGTCACACGGCGTCACAAAAAGTCAGACCCCCCTCAAATATGACGTCACAAAGCTCTGCCCCCCCCCCCAAATCGCTTTAAACTATTTTCATTGTAGTGGCGCTGTACTCTGATGTTGTAGGAGAAAACATTTATTTAAAAGTCTATTTAATTAAGTAGAACGTGTTGTCTATATTTATTCAAAGTTACGCATTTTGATGTGACGTCACATTTCTCAAACCCCCCCTCGTCACACATCGTCACAAATGTCTGACGTCATTTATGGACGGCCCCTAAAAGGAACGCAGAGCTTGGGCAATTGTCTCCGCGCCGCGTGTGGCCGCTGTCGCCTCTGGCGCCTCGTGACAACTCCCCTCTGAACTAATTCTAGATTTGAAGCTTTCGTGACTGCAAAGATTCATATTCTTAGGTTTTTTCGGTAAAGTCACGTAGGTAAAACATCAAAATTATTTTTATTAATTTTGATGTTTTACCTACGTGACTTTACCGAAAAAACCTAAGAATATCCCCTCTGAACCCCGAGGAGAGGACCAACCGCGTGCGCTTTCTTAGAGAGTTTAAAGTTAAAACAACCCGAGTATCGTAGCTGCAATGAGGCAGGACGGACAGGGTTGAGGAGGGGCGCGATTGGGCGAGGCAGGCATTACAGTGGGGAAGAGAAGACCAAAGGAGAGGAACACGAGACGCTGCTGGCAGGGAGAGATTTGGCGGTGGTCAATGCGCGCGGCTGCGGGGTCTGGCGGAGTGCAGAGCGCTCTGAGCAACAGCGCGCCATCTCGCGTTAGAAACATTAACATACGTTATGATAATTTATGATCGTGTAGTTTCTTAAATTATGTTAATCTATGGGGGATAGCCAATCAGCGTCAAGGGGCGGTGGAACGTGGGCTTTGTCGATCTTCAAATTGTCTCTTTCGAAATGAACACACGTGCGTGGCTGTGTTCGAGATTGGTGTCGTTTAAACATCTCTCTATTCCCGTGTAATCTTGCTGTGGGATCGTAAAAAAAGACTTCGCGTTCCGGTATTCCTTATATGGCCAAAGCCACACCCAATTACTCTACATTTGAGTCTAAATCGTTAACAAAATGTGTCATTCATTCAGTCGGCATCCTGAATAGAGGTTTTTGGGTTAGATCTCGTACGTATACATATGTAAATATGCACGTGTCGTTGAACCCGCCACCACCCGACAGGTTTGTCACGTAAACAAAACGTGGCCTCTTCTTGGTTCTTTCGGTAAAGTCACGTAGAAGGGAAATAATAGAATAATAAAAATAAAACATAATAAAATAATTCTCACGACGTTTCGGCCACAACGCAAGCAGCCGTCATTCTTCACCTGAGGACGGCTGCTTGCGTTGTGGCCGAAACGTCGTGAGAATTATTTTTTTTATTGTTTTATTTTTAATATTTTATTATTTCCCTTCTACGTGACTTTACCGAAAGAACCAAGAAGATGAATCCCTGCACCTGAAGACGGAAGCTTGTGTTGCCTCCGAAACGTCGTGATTTTTATTTTATTTTTATTTTACTTGTATTAATTGTTTACCTACGTGACTTTACCGAAAAAACTAAGAATATGAATCCCTGCAGTCACGAAAGCTTCAAATCTAGAAATAAGAACATGAATCCCTGCAGTCACGAAAGCTTCAAATCTAGAAATAAGAACATGAATCCCTGCAGTCACGAAAGCTTCAAATCTAGAAATAAGAATATGAATCCCTGCAGTCACGAAAGCTTCAAATCTAGAAATAAGAATATGAATCCCTGCAGTCACGAAAGCTTCAAATCTAGAAATATGAATCCCTGCAGTCACGAAAGCTTCAAATCTAGAAATAAGAATATGAATCCCTGCAGTCACGAAAGCTTCAAATCTATAAATAGAATATGAATCTCTGCAGTCACGAAAGCTTCAAATCTATAAATAGAATATGAATCTCTGCAGTCACGAAAGCTTCAAATCTATAAATAGAATATGAATCTCTGCAGTCACGAAAACTTCAAATCTATAAATAAGAATATTAATCTCTGCAGTCACGAAAACTTCAAATCTAGAAATAAGAATATGAATCCCTGCAGTCACGAAAGCTTCAAATCTAGAAATAAGAATATGAATCTCTGCAGTCACGAAAGCTTCAAATCTAGAAATAAGAATATGAATCCCTGCAGTCACGAAAGCTTCAAATCTAGAAATAAGAATATGAATCTCTGCAGTCACGAAAGCTTCAAATCTAGAAATAAGAATATGAATCTCTGCAGTCACGAAAGCTTCAAATCTAGAAATAAGAATATGAATCTCTGCAGTCACGAAAACGGGGCCTCTCTCCGAGGGGGCGGGGCTTCTCTCAGTGGGGGGCGGGGCGAGGGTGGACCGGGAGGTGTGGCGGCGTCGTCCACAATGCACCGCTGCGCGTGACGTCATAACCCGTGTTCGGCCCCTTCTTCCGGTCTTTTCGCGCGAGGACGCCATTGAGGCAGTAGAGCGGGCGCCGAGCGCTCACGCAGCAATCCGCATCCATCCGCGCGCTCCGAGCCGCCACCGCGCTTCATCATGACGGAGCAGATGACCCTGCGCGGGACCCTCAAGGGCCACAACGGCTGGGTCACGCAAATCGCCACAACCCCGCAATTCCCCGACATGATCCTGTCCGCGTCGCGAGGTGAGAGAGAAGGAGGGATGGTGCGGCCATGGCCGCCGTTACTCTCGTTACGCCTCCGCGCTCCTCTCGCTTAAGTCCGCGTCGATTAACGCTGTTACGTTACTTGCGCAAGGCGTCTGAGCTAGTTTTTAAATAATTGTAAGAAAAGAAACTGTCCAGCTGTGAAACTTTTATGATATTCTTGAGCGTGCCGTTAAGCCTGGGCCTGACCCAAGTTTGGAGTGCGCGGGGCCAGGTGGTGATGGTGGTGGTGAGTGTGGTGGTGGTGGTGAGCGTGGTGGTGGTGGTGAGCGTGGTGGTGGTGAGTGGTGGTGATTTGGGTGAATTGTTGTTGGCAGTGGGTCTCGCCGGGCTTCCCACACGCGTTAACGAAAGACATTGAATTGATGTTTGAACCCGGAGATGTCCCAAGCGTGTAACTTGTAAAACACCGGCAGTGTCTGTTCAAAGCTTTCTGTTTAGCAACGCGTTACATTACACAACTTATGCAAGTGAATTCCAGTATAATTCCGAAGTACCGTAGATGCATGGCAGACTTGCACCCAACCCATCACAGCTTGACTTGTTGAGTCTCGGTGCCTAATCGTATTTACTTTAAACCCCGAAGCCCTCAATGTAAACTAACCACTGTATGGGAACACTAAATGAGTGGCGTTCCTTCATATTCCTTCAACTTGGGCGAGGCCGAGGAACGTCTGCGATGCAATATCCGCGAGGCCTTGTTAGCGAGGCGTTGTGCCCCGTGGTCAATCCCGACAATGAGGGCCCGGGTTTCATGGCTGCCGCATTTGGCGTACAATCAATCAGACCCCCAAGTTCCGTATGGAGAACAGTCCAGCCGGCTTCCATCAACAGATAACTCCGTCAAACGTGTCCCACTTAAAGCACGAACCTGCCCTCCCCAACGTTCACCAACAATCCACACACACACCTGTTGGACTTTGCAGACAAGACGCTGATCATGTGGAAGCTGACCAGAGACGAGACCAACTACGGCATCCCACAGCGATCTCTGCACGGCCATGGGCATTTCGTGAGCGACGTCGTCATTTCCTCCGACGGCCAGTTCGCTCTCTCTGGCTCGTGGGATGGGACCCTGCGTCTGTGGGATCTCACCACGTGAGTCGTAGCCCCCAATGTCTCATTCACGAGCGAGTGCGTGACTTTCACGGCTTTTGTTAGTGCCACCCGCGTGCACGTTTCATTTTGGGTACAATTTTTGTGAACGAAAAATCTCTCCTGAGCGCACGTGCTGTGCTGTTGCCTTCTCACTTTTTTAAATATTTGCTGGTACTTTAAATGCTGTTAACGCAACTAGCAATCTTTATTTGATAGTTGCATTTGAAGTGTGTGTGTGTATATCATTCAAGCTACGTTGGCATTGTTCGATGAACGTGAACTTGTTGTGGTTTTTTGGGGAGTTGTTGCTGGTGGTAACATTGTGCTCTGATGGCGCAGGGGCACGACCACACGCCGATTCGTGGGCCACACCAAAGACGTGCTGAGCGTGGCGTTCTCCGCTGACAACCGTCAGATTGTGTCCGGCTCGCGTGACAAGACCATTAAGCTGTGGAACACCTTGGGTGTCTGCAAGTACACCATCCAGGTCTGTTGTTGCGCGCCCGGCATGTTGCTGGTTAATGCTGCGGATTGTTAAGATTACTTTTAAGTTTCAGAAGCAACTTAAAACATCACATTTATGGCCCAGTATAACAGTGTTATGCTTGACCAATTCTCTTGCTATTTTTTCAGTCCAAAACTGGCAAATTCCATAAACTTAAGTGTATATTTTGCATATAATTGATATAAATTGTAAATTTAATATATTTTCTCATTCCCAGAATAATAATGTATGGTTCGTTACATGCCTGTTACGTGCACATCATTTCAGTGGCATGGCACTGCATTTGCAACATTCCGTTTGTGGACAAGCGAGCTCTGTGCAATCCTGCTTCAATTCATTGAAAAGGAGTGTATGTCATGTCAAATACGGTACTCGTATTGAGACTAATAGTTCTACGATTACATTTAAGTTTTAAAAGTTTAAGTAACATGTGTTGCGAGGTTGTAATTGGCCAGGAGCCTGAAATAAACTCGTTGATCGTTGACAGCAGCTCATATGACTGTTTTCACAGGAGGATGGCCACACCGAGTGGGTGTCATGTGTGCGCTTCTCGCCCAACAATAACAATCCCATCATTGTCTCTTGTGGCTGGGACAAGCTGGTCAAGGTATGTCGTTCATAATCGTCAGAACTCGTATCTCCTTTATCCATGACCAGATAAACGTTCCCCCCATGTATGCTGGCATCTGTTGCATGATAGCACACACTACTAGCTAGCTTCTGAACACGAGCCGATCTTGTCATGCCATCTCTGGTTGTTTTCCTTCGGCCGTCGATCAGCCTCAACCCCTCGCCCCTTGCTCTCTCCCAAAATGTCCCGCCCCAAACCTTTGCTTTGATGGTCCTTGATGTTTCTAATTTGCATTTGCTCTCAGATGCATGCGTTGTTTCTGTCAGTGTGCACTTATCAACTCTTTTTCCATTTGTATTGCCCAAGACCATGTTTTTGATCCATAATTCATAGGTGATAACTTTAAATCTGTAACTTTCTTGTTTAGGCACATTGATATGTCTTTATCAGAATCTTTATACTAGAGGAAGCTGATGAGCTATACAAATCTTTCACAGATGTCCAAATTATCAAGTTTTCTCAAAATCACTCCAACCTGTTGTCTCGCTTATTCATTTAATCATTTTAATCTGGTTCACCTTCAAAAATAGCCCCTTCAATGTTTTGTTTAAGCTTAATCTATTTTGAGCCCAACTATTATTTTATTCAGTTTAAATTATGTTACATTTGTAATGGTTTCTGCCAGTATCTTTGCTCAAATGGTATCTCCTTGCCGGCTCTTCTGTCCAGTCATCCAAGAAAATCTGCTTTGAGGCTTGTGGGATTGCGATGTTTCTTTGCAGTTTTGTTTCCATTTTTAAATTCAGGAATGAATGTTGCATCAGTCCATGATTGGAAGTATTACATTTATATGTAAACATTTAATAAATAGGTTCAAACATTTGGCTCTGCTTGTTTGATGTTGTCCCACCCTTTTCAAGCTTTCATTTTTTTCATACTGAGGGTCAATGTTTCAAAGTAATTTGCTAAATTGTTAACTCTCTTGTTATGGAGTTGTATATTAGATTTGTAAATCCAAAAAGTCCAAGTTGAGCTGTATTTTACACGTACTTTTATACCCCGTGATGTCATAGTTAACAGTTGTATGTTTTGTGATCTGAATGAAGGTGTGGAATTTGACCAACTGCAAGCTAAAGACCAACCACATTGGCCACACGGGCTACTTGAATACAGTGACCGTGTCTCCTGATGGTTCCCTGTGTGCCTCTGGTGGGAAGGTATAGTAGATGCTGGCATTGTTGACACCATTTGTGCTTCACCCAAATTTTGTGACGACATTCACTCACGCACCCAGCATGCCGAAAGAAACCACCACACAAACACATTTTCAGAGGCACATCGGAATGAATAACCATGATATTTTATTGAAAAGAACATTTGCTTATCTTAAGAACTTCCTATCAAATGTAAATTGCGTGTGTTCCTGTAGGATGGGCAAGCCATGCTGTGGGACCTGAATGAGGGCAAGCATCTCTATACACTAGATGGAGGTGACACCATCAATGCGCTCTGCTTCTCACCAAACCGCTACTGGCTGTGTGCAGCCACGGGGCCCAGCATCAAGATCTGGGTAAAATGCGAGCTTCTGCACTCTCCTCTCTTGCTTTCATTAAAACCTTGTCATAGATTGAGAGACACCCAATGATTATTCCCAATCACTACCCATCTGACCTCTTTTGGAGGAAGGATTACAAGTCCTGCAATTATGAGGGTGATCTGAATAAGTTGAGTGTGCATAACACATGTTTCTTTGTAATGTGAGAATGCAATATTGTATTTGAAATAAATAAAAATGTACCTGAAATGCCGTGCATAGCGATGGAGGAATACCCATTAGTTCACGCTAAAAAATGTGTTGGTTTATTTAAAGATAACAAGTTGAGACTGACCATCAATATCCTTCATCGCTAACGTTAGGAGACACGGCAAGTTCCCATTGTGCGAACCCGATGTCTGCTGTGTGTGATGGTGTTAATTGATTTGCTGCTCCTAACTCTGTGGCCGTGCAGGATCTTGAAGGCAAAGTGATTGTGGATGAGCTGCGGCAAGAAGTGATCAGCACAAGCAGCAAGGCTGAGCCACCCCAGTGCATTTCCCTGGCCTGGTCTGCTGATGGACAGGTAAACACTGCATTCCTTACACTCTTCTCCAGTAGGTCTTGTTATACGCATAGTCTGGACTACATCTGTACAAAACTAATTTTCTTAACCCTTCTAGAATATTTATATGCATCGGTCACACCACGATCATCTATATCATACTACTATTTATGGAAAGTTGTTTGTCATTCCGCTTGCATTTCAAGAACCATACTTAGTATGAGGACCAGCAGATTATACAAACTCCCCTTTCCACACTGTACATTTGCTTTTTCATGTTTTATGGTTTGGCTTGAGTGGGTCAAACATCAACCACAGTGATTGGTTTGTCTGCTAGACATCTGATTGTAGATGGTTGTATCACAACATTATAAACTTGTTCTACTTGTGGATTGGAAGTTTTCCATAATTCTCGTTTTAAGGTATAATTCAAACCAAAAGTAGTACGAGGCTTTGAATGGCCACAGTTTTCAGCATTGGCCTAGCTTTACAGACTGCTCGTCCGATCTTCCATTGAAACGTCCTACAGTGAAGACACCCAATGATTATTCCCAATCACTACCCATCTGACCTCTTGATAGAGGAAGGGATGACAAGTCCTGCAAATATGAGGGTGATCTGAACTGAAGCAACTGCATAACTTGTGTGCATAAGTCCTGAATTTACTGCAGCCTTTTGAGGTGTGATTAGACATTGCACAAAAGGAGTCACTGAAAGGCTAATGTATTAGATTTTCAAAAGTTACAATTTTGTTGTATTTTTATGTTTTCAGACTCTGTTTGCTGGTTACACTGACAACTTCATCCGAGTTTGGCAGGTGACCATTGGCACTCGCTAAGACCTGTCAAAGGGATGTGCTGCGACATGGGTGCAAGCACGCGATGCGGCTCATGCGTGTGAGACTATCACATGACATTGGCCATTATCATCATTGGTGTGCTTGCACTCGCTTTTTCAGTGCTCAATAAACAATTGAAAACATTTGTTACCTGTCCCTTTATTTTTTTTAATCGCTACGTGCAGTGTCCATGGTGCTTCAAAATCTCAAATCTAGTCCCCACATCAGCTTATTTAACCAACTCGGAATGAATGTGTTTTGGCGGTGACCCTGAACTATTACAGTTTGCAGCCCCCCCCCCATTCCACGACTGGTGGTAGAACAGCCAAGTCTCCACTTCCCAAGAAGCAAGACCAACGGTGCTGTAAAGCCTCGCACAGCAGCAGCACGCTCGTGTGGTGATGGCGGCTATGCACGTGGCCTGTAGTCCGGCGCACTGGAGGCGAGGGTTGGGTGGATCGCATTGCAAAAATTACTTGCCGTGGGCGTTGAGGTCCCATACCATGGCTTGCCAGAAGAGGGCAGTACTGTACAGCTAGTGGACTAATCTATTTCCATCTTCAGGGATGGTGTTACCAGTTACCCCCTCGCACACGTATCACTGGAACCCTCAAGTCGCGACCTCAACGCCCTGGCTGTATGCTTTCACAAATTTCTCTTTCCACCCATCTGCCACAACAACGGTAACCCTCCGGATAGTTGCAGGACTTAGCGGAGTGTTACAGGGCCTTAACATCCCTCGTCATTGCTTGAAGTCACGCGAGGCCTTTAGGAGCCATGCGCTTAACCTTCAACAATGTGCGTTCAATGGAGCTAAAATGAACTTGCAAACGCCTTGTAAAATACCTAACGCAGATGATAGCTGGTTTTGATCTTCCCTGAAAATCATGGTCCACGCTAAACTGCATCCGTACAAACCATCGCAAATGTGGATACCTCGTGGACAAATGGAAAATTTTACGCTGCAATGTGTGAATGGTCATCCAGAACAGACCAAAGATTCAATGCCCGATCCACAAATACAAAGTGGACGTTGCAGTGATGCACTCTGCTGCTCCGACAAGGTTATCTGGTTTGACCCCCTGAATGTGAAATTCTAGTTGCTCTGCATCTACATTAGCCGTATGAAGGAAGCACCGTTCTATGAAGTCCCATTAAAGAGGCTTCAAAGGAACATGACACTGGATGGAGGTGAGACCTACCCACTTACGAACTCTCCCTGACTCGCTATCCTACTTTTACCCACTTACCTACCTACTTTACCTCGCCTCTCAACCTGTCTCGGTGCCTGCAAAATGAACGAATCCACACTGACGTTCCTGGCAGACCCCCAGGGGGTTTTTTGGTGGGTCTGGGAAGCTTTGGGGGGGAGGGGTGGTCTGGAGTATGGGTGGAGGGGGGTGACATTTGCGGGGTTTGATTACATCAAACTTATTTTAGACCATGTTTCAAGCCGAAAGAGTATTCCAATTTTTGTTTTAACGTACAATTTGAAACAAGTGGTACAAGGCTGTGGATGGCCACATTTTTCAGCATCGGCCCAGCTTTAGAGACGACTCGTCTGATCTTGCTTCCATTGAAGCGTCATACAGTGAGACACCCAATGATTATTCCCAATCACTATCAATCTGACCTCTTATAGAGGAAAGATGACAAGTCCTGCAAATATGAGGGTGATCTTAACTGAAGCGACTGCATAACTTGTGTGCATAACAGTCCTGGATATACTTGCAGCCTTTCGAGGTGTGATGCAGACACTGCACAAAAGGGGTCACTGAAATCTCATGTGTCAGATGTTTAAAAGTTAAAATAATTTATACTGGTAGGAACCTGGTTACACCAGCCCACGGGATTATTGTGTCCGTCGTGCAGGGAGGGGCTGGGTGGGGGGTGGGGAGGGGTTGGTCACCCCGTGGTGCCCTTATAAAATTCAACGTTTAACCTACTCACGCCAGCTTGTGCCCACCCTCACAGTCGAACATATTTGTGGAATACACCACGCCGCCGTTGACCCTGGCCATTGACCGAGCAACCAACGCTCCTACAAGCTCCGCAGGAATGTGTTTTGTATCTTTTCTGACACTTTTCTGATTCCATTCACAATTTCATCCGAGTTTGGCAGGTGACCATTGCCGCTCGCTAAGACCTATCAAAGGGATGTGCTGCGACATGGGTGCAAACACTCATGAACCACATTGTGTGCGAGACTCATGGTATTGGCCATTATCATCATTGGTGTGCTTTCACTCGCTTTTCAGTGCTCAATAAACAAGTGAAAACATGTCTTACCTTCTGTCTCTTTGAGCTTGCTATGTGCAGTGTCCATGGTGCTTAAAAATCTCAAATCTAGTCCCCACACCAGCTCATTCAACTAACTCGGAATAAACGTGTTTTGGCGGTGACCCTGAACTTTTACAGTTTTCAGCCCCCCCCCCCATTCCACGCCTCTGTGGTGGTAGAATAGCCAAGTCTCCACTTCCAAAGAAGCAAGGCCAACGGTGCCGTAAAGCCTCGCGAGCAGCAGCAGCAACACGCTCGTGTGGTGGTGGTGGCTTTGCACGTGGACGAGGGTTTGATGAATCACAAAATATCTTGCCCTGGACGTTCAGCTCCCATACCATGGCTTGCCAGAAGAAGGCAGTGTTGTACAGCTAGTGAACTAATCTATTTCCATCTTCAGGGATCGTCTTACACCCTTGCGCACATTTTTGCGGTCCGGGGTGTGTCTCGGTACATCAAATCTTTTTTTTTATTCCATGTTGCTTTCATTTGCAAGCCTAAAGAGTCTCAAATCCATTGCAGGGAGTTTCAGTTCTAAATCGAGGAGTCTCCATTCAACTTCCAATGCTGTCAGAATCTGAATATTTATAACTGGAGTAATCCGATGAGCTATGATGCTCTTTTTACATATGTCCAATACGGGCAGGTCAGCAACAAACAATACAAACACGACAGAGATCAAAGGTAAGCAAGAAAGTCACTCGAAATAAAAAATAAGTCCTATATAGTCCTATTTTCAACACTGCTTGGGCAAAGCAACAAAACAACAATCCCAGACCACACCAAGACAACACACAGTGCTTTTATAAAATGGCACGTAAAATTAAATTGATATACAGCCCAGGATCTAAGTTACAAATCACATGGGCACATGTGGCTGTATCCAGGGGTTAGGGCTATAGGGTTGTGAATACAGGATATATACACTATAGGTTCTACAGAAGTTGTAAATGTGGGTTTACTCTCCACACCGGTGTGCTGTACTAGTAACAAATTGGGAAGTTTTATTTACGTGACAAACCTTACTTATTGGCTGTGGCGAGTTTAACGACGCTTTTATATGTAGGCGACCTCACGCAAAAACCTCAGATAATATTGGTAGCGAAAGGCCTACGACGTTACACTGAGGTTCGATAGAAGTCTCGTGATGCCCTCTGGTGGACAAACGTGTAACTACAGCTGCTGTTACGCGTTTGACAACGGAGCAGACAGCCCTCCACACAATGCACGAGTGGGTCTACTCATCCCATCAGCCGCACAACATTCTGAGGGTACATCCCCATCAGCAGCATTGATTCAACACAAGCAACACCCTGGAGAGCAACACTCAGGGTCTCGTCAGTACAGGCTCTGCTTGAAACAACACTGGTATCACTGCAGAAGTGTGTACAGAATGAAACACATTTCTGACGGAGTTCGCTCTTGTTTAGAGACAACAGGAAAATCACGTGGGTCAGAAGGTGCCAGTGATGCAAGGTGGAAGGAAAGAGATTAAGTGTAAGGCAGAATGAGAGGTGGGTGGGGTGGGGGCGATGTGGTGCGATGGGAGCGTGGTGGCCCGAGGAGCATCATGGGAGAGGGCGGCGTGGGGAAGGTTGGCAATGACGGCGGAACACGCCACGTGAGTGGGAAAAACGCGTGGAAGAAGAATAAGTGTGTTCATCTTCTTCGTTCTTTCGGTAAAGTCACGTCGAAGGGAAATAATACAATAATACAAATAAAACAATACAATTCTCACGACGTTTCGGCCAGAACGCAAGCAGCCGTCCTCAGGTGAAGAACAGGTCTGTCGGAAAGACAGCGTCTGAATGAACACCACCAAGCTTGGCAGCGTATATTTATAGCTGGGTTAGAGGAGGAAGGGCGCCTTGACAAAGTAATTTGCATATCAACAGAGGAATTTAGCATATTTATGGAATGCGTAGGAGGTGGGGGGGGGGGGGGTCTCAAAGTCATATTATGCCCGTGCATTATGTAGGATTAGCAGCAACAAAGGGAAGATGTAGGGTTAGCAGTAATGAAGGTGACTTTACCGAAAGAACCAAGAAGATGAGTCCCTGCAGTCACGAAAGCTTTAAATCGAAATTTAATTAGTGTGTTGTACATGACTCAGCAGTACACAATGCTGCAAAAGCCTCGCTTGAACCAACGCTGATGAACTGACAGGTATTGTCAGATGTGGGCTCTAGTTCAGCATAGAACTCGATAACGCGATGCTGCAGATGGTTGGGGGGTGAAGCTGCGTTGACAGCGGCGCATGAACAGAGCAAATCAACATCTCAACATATTCCTCAATGACGCTGTGGTCTTAAAATAACAACGCGTGCAGGCGACGTTTCGACAGTGGCCGTTCTGTACAAATCAGCGGGTTGTCACTTCACGAGCGGAGACTGCTATGGACTCCAATGTTAAAGGCTCCCAGACACTTCAATGCTAAAGACTCCCAGACACTTTAATGTTAAATTCTCCCATAGACTTCAATGTCAAAGGCTCCCAGAGACCTCAATGTTAAATTCTCCCGAAGGCTTCAATGTTAAAGGCTCACATCGACTTCAATGTTAAAAGCAACCATATACTTCAATGGAAAATTATCCCATAGACTTTAATGTTAAAGGCACCCAGAGACCTCAATGTTAAATTCTCCCGAAGACTTCAATGTGAAAGGCTCCCATAGACTTTGATGTTAAATGCAACCATAGACTGAATGTTAATGGCTCACCTAGACTTCAATGTTACATACTCCCATAGACTTAATGCTAAAGGGTTCCATAGACTTCAATATTAGATCCTCCCATACACTTAATGTTAAAGGCTCCCATAGACTTCAATGTTAAAGGGTCCCACAGGCTTCAATGTTAAATCCTC